CACACTGAGAATTGCTTTAATATAATGGAATATTTTCATACAAAGTCAGTAATGAAATACTAAAAGGAAACATAAGCACGACACACACCTGTCTGCCTATCATGCTTTCAGTCGTGTACATGGAAACAGCTTGAGGATCATGTGAGGTACAGCTATAATAGCACATTGAACATCGATTCTTTTTGTTTCTCATTCACTCCATCTTTCATATTTTGTTCATGAACTGACCTTACACACTGTCAGGGTTAAGGACTGTTTGTGAGCATTGGCATAATGTAAACACGATGTAACAAATCACTCAAACTGCTTTTCTACCCAGTATTAGGGATCTTCCCAGCGGATTCATATGGAATGATCCCTCCACTCACTGTGGTGGTGATGGCCCATGCCCTCAGGTCCTCTCCAAGGGACACAAGGCAGTCATGACTATGCCATTTCAAGTTGCACCTGGTCCGTCCTAGTCAGGCTCGGCCCCGCATGAATGGGCTTGCCTGGGTTGGTGTGTACATACACTTCCTTCATTTTAAACACCTAATGCCAGAGTTCCAGGCACAACAGCAAAGTACACAAGCAGCGGTTCCCATCTCGCTCTCACTCATGGGGCCTGGCAGACCCCTCCCAATTTCTTACAACTCTGGCATTTTATACCACACTTTATTTCTGTTCTTTCAATAAAAGGTTCACACCGAATAGATGATAGTTACGAAGAAAACTGCTTGACTTTTGCTCCTTAAAAATAACCTCAATGGTTTCACACAGGAAAGGGGTGACAACCTTTCAATCTATGGGAGACAGGAGAGAGGGCGAACTGTTTGTGAAGGAAGGAACAGGTGCTGTGGGATTTGGTTCTGGCAAAACCTCCACAGTGGGATGTCGTTTGAGGTAGAGAGACCAGGCGGCCAACGGCTGCACGGGGTGCGAGAACGAGCAGAAAAAAAAACAGACCGGCGCCGATCCTTGTTGCCCTCCACACATGGCAGAGAGTTCCTCCAGGCCATCACACAAGGACGGCGGGGCCAGGCCATATCCTAGTGTCCCGCTCCACCCCAGAGCTGCACGTTGGGGCGGCTGCGAAAACACCTGCACAGACTCTGCACTCCAGCCTGTCCAGGATGGCAACAATAAAAGAGGACGGGGTCCCCCTGGCAGAATGAGCGATCACATACACAGTGGTCCCGATGGCCCCAGCCGTCCTCTGCCCCAAAGCCCAGGAAGTACGACCTCTCCAGTGGCAGCCAACGGCTACGCACCGTGGATGACCAATCCAGAATGCGGCAGCATTTTTTACAATGTTTCTGGAGGCAAAGACTCTTGGAACAAGCTGTGGGGCCCGCTAACAAAAAGAAAATAGGAAGAAAAGTCGTCCATCAGTCCACACGCAAAATGAAGATCAGTCGCAGCTCTCTCTTATCAAGTATCCCAAAGCAAGAGCTGCTCTAATTGGAAGTGGCGGGGCATAAGTCTCTGCGGGCCCAGCGGGGCGGCTTTCCAGCCCTTCCCACGCCCAGCACCAACAGACAAGCAGCGGGCAGCCTCCAAGTGCTCCGCGGAAGACCCCAGAGCCGATGCAGGCGGCAGTGCAGGCTAACCCCGCCTTGTGACAGAGACAATGCAGCCGACAGGGAGAGGGAGGGCACCCCGCTTTAATGAAAAGCATGCCCACGTCCAATCCTGTGCCACTATCGCCCGATGAGGCCACGAACTCCCTCATCCTGTCACCTGGGCCTGGACACTAGGCACTTGTCACAGATGGGATAGTATCAGGGAAAGGATCTCCAGAGGATTGCATAGAGGAGGATTTACACTGGGAGGATAATGAACTTGCATTCATCACGAGAGCACAAACTATTAAAGGACATAATTAGACGGCATTAGGCACTTATATTAGATTTCAATAGAAGTCTTATCAATCTTCCAGAACAACCGCGAATGGCGGCTTCAAGAAGGACCACGCAGCTGTGCATCCTGCAGTACAGGGACCCCTGACCCCAGGCAACACCTGGCAGGCGAGCAGTGCCCAGAGAACACTCAGCCAGTGTGCGTCACTATTGTAGCGTGCCGTGGTGTGCACACGGGCCATTGTGTGACAGAATCAGGAAGGCTGCTTCTCCCTGGGCACAGGCCAGTGTGCTGACTGCCCAAGGTTGGCGGGCTTCGCAACTGGATCCCCGGACGCCAATCACATTGGGCTGAGTAATGTTCCATCCTATTAACCAACCTAACCTCCTTGCAATGATCCCCTGTAAGATAAGGAAAGTAAATTGTTTTCGGCACGGGCGCACGGTGGCTCAGAGGCCTGTAATCCCAGCACTTTATTGGGAGGCCGAGACGGGCGGATCAGCGAGCGTTCAGCGAGATCAAGACCAGTCCGCGGTAACACGGTGAAACCCCGTCTCTACTAAAAATAACAAAAAACAACAATACGCGGCGAGGTCGGCGGCGCCTGTAGTCCCAGCTACTCGGGCCGGGCTGAGGCAGGCCGAGAATGGCGTAACCCCGGGAGGACGGAGCTTGCTGTGAGCTGAGATCCGCGGCCACTGGCACTCCAGCCTGGGCGACAGAAGCGAGACCCTCCGTCTCAAAAAAAAACCAAACAGGACAGAAATCAAGACAGGAGACTAGCCTGGCGTTCTTTAGTGTAGTTGCTACTTTAGGTGAAGTTTGTGATGATATGTCGAGTAAACTGCCTTGAACAGGCTGCGGACAGCGTCTTCCTCACACTGGTGTTTCTTTGGTGCAGATCTTGTAGGGAAGTGTCCCTGCTGTGCTGTTAGTTTCAGAGGCGACTGTTACGGTAGAAGTATCCTACGCTGCAGTCTGGCCTTGGGGGACAGTGGGAAATAGCCAGGCAGGCTACGTGAACAGCATAATCTTCAGCACAGCGTGTGAAAGTGCACCTCTGATCTCTGTGTGCGGGTCTGCTGTGCTGCTTTCATTGACCA